GGAAATTGATGTTTTTACAGATTTTCATGTAAACAAGCAAATAATTGTAGCTATTTACTAATTAATTTGTATTTTTTATAACAAATTGTTAGTCTGTGACGAACTTGTTAAACTTAAATAAGTACATAAGGTGTACTGTAAAGTACAGTAAATATAAGCGATCTCTTAATGCACTGTCAGAACGATAGAACAATAAATATTCATGCTTACCTACTAATGACTCTTCTCATAAATATTTGTCTATTCTTTATGTAATATTACAATCTTGATACATTTACTATGTTACTATATTATATGTGTGTAGTATATAGGTATACATTGGGTTTGGTATTGATAAGCTTGCAGTTTGATACATCTCTTAAAAGCTTTTTTCCTCAAAGCTCGATTAGTGTAATGTAAATCGATAAGCGATGAGACTAGAATTGATTAATGATACATTCGAAAGGAACAGATAATATAGCAGCAATGTCTTATGTTATTTTATAATCAAGTAGCAATTATTTGCTTCGAAGGTTTTTTGTATGTTACAAGATATTTTTGCCAATTGTGAAGTGATGGTTCTTGGTTTTCTGACTGAATTTCATATTCCTTTTTGTTGAGCAATAGAAAATTTCACCGGTAAAGGTGAAATAATTACTTTTAAGTGGTTTAAAACCCCATATGGCTATGCTAGAAAATAAATATGCTTATAAAATGTAACATTACGATACATAACCATTTCATAGTCTATATACGTTGTATCTATCTGAAGGGCCAATATTCACATTCTCGTCACAGATGATTGCTTAATTTTTTTCCACCCGCAACATGTTCCAATACGGATTTATGTAATTACATAGATTTTATTTATCATGATAAGCCGTAACTGTGACTTAACTTATATACCTAAATAGCTAACTATGTTTCTATTTTAGTCATATGACATCTGATCTAAAAAAAACTCGTTTCTTTCCTTAACATTAATTACATCTTACCAATATCTTACTAATATTATAAACGTGAAAGTTTAGATGTTTGTATGTTTGTTACTCAATCACGCCAGAACTGCTGAACGTATCTGGATGATAGGCACAGAGATAGATTATACCAGAAAAAGGTGAGTTCCCGTGGGATAGATTTGTTTTTGTTTTTCTAAAGGCGAACCCGAGAAAAGAGTGGGTGAAGCGCTAGTTGTAAATATTTAAATATAGTTACAATTTTATTATATGCTATTTTTACGTAGATATATCTTAAAAGAGGCGACATTTACGAGCTTAGATATATTTAAAGGAATATTTTGTGCAAGGTAAAGTTGCACTTATTTGTTTTGTACTAGACGATATCACGTTTGCTGTAACACAATACGCTGTAAAGATACGTTGCTCGTACGGGAAAAGCTTTCGTATACTGATTTTTGTATATTATAGTTAAATTATCTAGTGCGAAAGTCATAAAAATGATAATGTTTGAAATATATGTAAAACTTATAGGTATATGTCTATATTTATCTGTATTTGTTATTTTGTATATTTTTATTAATAATTAAGAGTTTCCTAAAAATAGGTAGTCGGCTAAAGTGGACTTATCCATTAAAGAGATCTCTTTCAGGCTACACATGTATGCATGTGGGAATAATTTTAATTAACTTAATTAGTAATCATCACAAAATTTTAACTTGAGATTACTGAAACGCCTATGATGGCAATTTTTTTTAATATTCTGTGTAAACATGCCGCGCGTACTTTTCGTCGTAATTGGGTCAAATTTTATGTTAGATGACATTTTAACGGAAGCTTACATTTCCTTCCTAATATAATATACATTGTGAAAATTCTGAAAACTCCCTGCGCCATATTTTGAATGAACGTGGAGAAATTAATTATCAACTAATGTATTAAAGATCACGTAGCAAATTTATTTCCTGCCCGCGCAGTTTGTTTTTACTTTACGATACAAACAACTCTAAGCAATTTTATATAAATTCCAATAGAATTTCTAAGCAACTTGATACTTTTAAGCCAAAAGTGTCACAGCGTTGTTAGTGGAACGGAAACTTGAGACATATTTTCGTTATTGAAACCGTAGTTTTGACAGAATTTTCTGGTTAATAGGAAGAGCCAGTACATCGTTGTGGCGACATTCTTTAGTGGTTGGTATACGAGTATGTCGTGTTTTTGTTTGTTTAGATATTGGATTTTCCTCTAGCTTTTATCTGTACTCAAAATCACTTTGTCCTCAAGTTGTTAAGAATTTCTGAAGCAATTAAAGTTTTTCGCTAAAATGCTAGTATGCTATCGTATCAGGGATATATCACGGTCCCCCCAACGTGCGTTCACATTGTCGTGGTGGTGGTGGTGGGGGGGGGGGCTCAGTAGTGCCCGGCAATCCAGCCGGGCGCGAAGCCAAGAAACGCACAGGGAGGTGGCACGCTTCGGTGGGCGTTGGAAGGTGGCCCTCTTCGGAGGGCGGTGTACCATGCGGGTTGCTCCTGGTACTTCTCTGATAGCAGAGTGGACCTTGGAGCAACCCCATGGTTGTGGTGGTCTGCTTCGGCAGACCTGCCGTCGGGGCGTCGTAGTAGAATGCGTAAGCGATCCTGCGACGCCCCATTAAAACGGGGGAAGGTTTTGTTGGGTTTTAGTGGGTAGTACTGGCTTCGCCGGTGAGTCCCACACCTCGTGCGTAAATGCATTTCCCAACGTTGAAAAAAAAGGGATATGTCACGGTTTTATATTTTTAGAATTTATTTCAATTCAATACTTTTCTACTACCTGATCAAAAGCCTATAATGCCTGCAACCTTAGTAATACTTGTTAGGATTCTGAACTGATACCTATAAGAGATATGAAAGAACTGGTCCTTATAATATAAAGTCTATATTCCTTGATAAATGCAGCAAAATACGTTAGTAAAAATACGTTAGTAAAGTTTATTTTTATATGAACTTATGACTAAAAATAATCACTGAAAAAAAATACATATTGGTATTATATATAACTAACGACTCATCGTCGCTTCGCTCAGGTTCGTCCCTAGGTACGTTTTGACGCTTAGTATTGAATAATATTTTTATTTTTTATTTTTATTCGTGAATTTTTCCGATGTTTAATAGTTATTTTGCCATTCGGGGTGAAGACAATCCAACAAAATAAAGATAATAAAAATCGTCCAGCCGTTCTGGAGTTATAGGTGTTGTAACAAACCCGACTTTGCTTTATATATAATTATAGGTATTATAATACGATTAATTATTTTTATTCTTATATAAATTATACATGTACAATGTATGTTTAATGAAGAAGTGAGAGACGCTGATTTTGCACTTTGAATATAAAAAAAATTGGTCAGAATATTAAAAAAGTTTAGATAAGTTTGGGACAAAAGCTATAATATTTTTTAACTCTTGTTGTTTTTTGAGCTGGTAATAATTTATAGGTTAAAATGGGAATATGGTTGTCTAATACTTTTTGTGCATGTGTTAGGTACTGCTGATATATGTGTATTTAATAATAATAAAAATCTTTATTTCAGTACATTTTTCCATATAATTGAGAAATAAATGAAATAATTATAAATTTTATTATTTTTAACTAAAAAAGTAAATTAAATATTGTAAATGTAAAAAGTAAAAATGTATTTATATCTGCTGATATGGTGAATTAATTTATACATATAATAAAATTGTAACTAAGCCGAATCTGTACATTAAATATTTTTTGGAAAATATTATTGCTATAGACTTTATTATCGATACAGAGGCCGAATCTATAGCTTTTAGAATTTTTGTCTGTCTGTCTGTTACCGCATCACAGAAAAATCACTGGAGGGATTTTGATGAAATTTCGTATGGTGATAGATGCGGGTCAACATATAGGATATTTTTTACCCCAGGAAAATGTCTCATTTCAGAGAAAAAATACAAAAACTGCAATGTAAGAGTATACTCATGTGTAAATCTAAGAATTTGGTTTTTGGTCATCTGAACGCGGGCGGAGCCGCGGGCTATGCTAGTAAAATATAAAATACTTCAATGGGCAAATGTTGATACATTTTAAGATGAAATTGTATTTGCATCAACTATAGTATTTTCATTATAACAAAGAAAGATTTTATATGACATTGTTTTGAGAAATCGGTCAATTGGTTGATGAAAGTTATATAGTAATTGTATCAAGAATCCTCGTTATTCAAGTACTGAAATGCGTAAGCATTATTGGTAAAATAATTGAATATACATATTTAAATTTCGTGGTCAGGTCTTTTAATTTGTGTAATAAACTATCTTCAAGTATCTTTATAGTTTTATTTACAATGCAATAATATTTTTTAGACTAACTTTTTTACGTTGTTTCGTTTACGATCATTATCTTTAGTAATTACTAGCAGAACCCGCGGCTACGCTCGCGTTCCATCTACAAAAAACTCTTTGATTTTATGTTATAAAAACTCACTGTATATTTATGTAATATACTCACACATTTCTATAATATTATTGTTCAATATTGAACAAAAATAATAAAAACGCGATTAAAAAATGGGGGGTGGGGATAGGAGGGCGAATAATACTTTACGGCCTATTCTCATACATACCAAATATACAAAAAAAAACATAAAAATCGGTCGAGCTGTTTCGGAGGAGTGCGACCACAAACACGGTGACACGAGATTTTTAAATATTAGATTATAATTGTCTTTGAGCCAAAAGTCGTTAGGACAAGAGCAGGCTCAGATGCATATTAGTATTTTATTATACAATTTGTATTTTTAACATGTTCTGTCTACATTTCGGCGATTTCCCACTAATTAACTTAATGAAAACAAATAACGAGTATTTTTTTTACTAATAATACATATACTAGTCACCTTGCCTTTATTTGCTTATAAGGTAAAAAAAAATTCGATACTTTTTTAGATTAGCGCGTACATGTGTACGTACAAACAGACTATTTACGGCAATTTTTCTTTTATGTATTTGTCAATATATATATTTTTAAGATCGATATATATTTTGTGGTTACCAGGTGTGTGGAACTGGATTTTTGGAACGGCCGAACGGAAGAGCCGGTTATCGTACACGGATATACGTTTGTGCCAGAGATTAGTGCTAAGGAAGTTTTGGAGGCGATAGCCGAGAGCGCATTCAAAACGTCCGACTACCCCGTCATACTGAGCTTCGAAAACCACTGCAACCCGCGCCAGCAAGCGAAAATAGCGAACTACTGTAGAGACATATTCGGCGAAATGCTACTCGATAAGCCTCTAGATTCTCATCAACTGGAGCCTGGTAAGTTATTTTTAAACGATTTCTACAATATACTAGTATATTTGTGTTTAAAAAAAATAACTTGTGTTCTACTTACGTATATGTATAGAGCGGATTATTTTCGCTTCGTTGGGATGCGTTCCTAGTTGCTAAACTGTAATGTCAGTGCATTACTCCTCGTAAATATCTATGTGCCTACTAAATTTCATCCAAAACCGTTCAGCACACAAACACACTTTCACATTTATATTAGTAGTCTAATAGTATTTACTCTCAGTCGAATGAATGGTTCGTCACATAATATTTCTAAGACTCACATACATATGTGCTGTATAATTTATTTATCTTTAATTTAATAGACGAAAAATTGTTACGGAGCTGTAACACTATTAGGATTCATTCATTCGTGTAATAAGGTTGACTTTTAATATATTAAATTACATCCGAAAATTTCATATTGTATGTAAAAAAGGAAATTTTATAAACCTTCCTGAAAGCTCGCGCGAATTTACAATTTCATACATTCTACCTGCCGAAAGGTACAATAGACCGTGGGATCTCGCATCCATAATATAACATGTAATTTATTTTATTGCTTATTACGTTTTGCCTTTTACCCTTCGATATATCTTAGCCGTAATCATTTTTTTAATCTCAATGACTGTCATATCTAGAATCTAATAAGTGAATAAATAAAACATATTTGAAGCCATTAACAAGAAAATTGAATTGAAGTGAATAAAACATACATATATTGGGTACGTCAGAATTAGACACGTGAAAAATTTATGAAAAGATTTGCTTCGAGTCAGGCTTTAATCTACGAGAGTTATTGTACAGTATTTACTAAATTAAATTCTATAGTTGTTGTCGCAGTATCTGTTACTACGTACGTAGCTCATTTCTCTACATTACGAAAATATTTAATCTATACTAATATTATAAAGAGGTAAAGTGAGCTTGTGACGTAGTAGGAGGTAATCTCTAGATCTACTGAACCGATTTAGATGAAACTTGGTAAGAATATAGTTTGAAACCCTTGGAAGGATATAGGATACTTTGTATCCAGAAAATCATCCCTTGAGGGGGTGTTATGGGGGATAAAAGTTTGTAATGGTTGCTCATATATAAACAAACGTACACCTTTAGTAGCTCTTAATTTAGCCAATTTATTGGCATTTTAATTCATATCAACAGCCCTAATATGTGTCTTTAACATTTGAACCTATTCAGCCTATTAAAATTCATGATTCCACTGCCCGTAGATAGATACGTACACAAAAGAGAATTATACATTAAATAAGATCTCTTCACAGGCAGCTAAATGGTGTACGATGTACTTACATACATAAATATGTATAAATATTAATATAAAATTTATTCACAAAGAGTAGGTAGGTATTTTAATAAATTTCATTTCGTTACTTTACGCCGTGTAAATTTTGGAAGCGTGTCTTATTAATTTAGTCAGAACCATAAAATTTGTTATATTTTGTATGTGATATATTTGATGGTACTCTCTAATACCATTTTTCGTTGAAATCCAAAAGTAACTAATCCATTTACCTAGAACATGATATATACGTAACAAACGCGTGAATGTGCTTTATACCCACGTCTGCGTGCGTGAGCATACTTCAATCATACATCCGATAAGGGAAGGGGCTATTTTAATAGTGTTATGATATGGCAATAAGGTATATTATACGAAACGTTCGATATGTGACCTTATACAATCTGATTTAGTCGACAGTTTATTTTTTCTGAGCTTTTGTTACATAATTTTTTAACATCCGGTTGGTAATGTGGGATTTGATAAAATATAACACTCAAACGGTATGTACGTATAAGTTAGACATATTTAAATTAAAATAGTTAATAGATTAATAATCTTCCATAACATTTAATAAATTATGCGAATATTTAAAATTTTAAATAAAACTATATTTTCGGATTTTTTCGTGGATTTATTTTGGTTTTTATTTTTCACGACGTTTCAAATGCTTTACAGCAATCATAGTCACGATAGAGACTATAGTCAATAAACTAAATAGGTATTTTTGTGCTGAATATATTTATATATAATCTATATTCTTTTTTACTTTGACTGAGTAAATATTAATAATACTAGCATTGCCCGCGGCTCCGCCCGCGTTCAGATGACCAAAAACCAAATTCTTAGGTTTTACAGATTAGTATACTCTTACATTGCAGTTTTTGCATTTTTCTCAGAAATAAGATACTTTCCCGCGGTAAAAAGTATCCTATATGTCGACCCGGATAACCAGCTATCACCATACCAAATTTCATCAAAATCCCTCCAGTGGTTTTTCTGTGATGCGGTAACAGACATACAGACAGACAAAAATTCTATATAGATTCGGCCTCTGTATCAATAATAATGTTTATTTTAATAAGATTTTCCAAAAAAATATTTAATGTACAGATTCGGCTTAGTTACAATTTTATTATATGTATAGATAATAGTAACATTTGGTTTGTAGTATTTTATTTATACATATACATATTGTTTTGTTAGAAAATGAACGACGTAATTTCTTGGTAGTGATCCCTCGTATAATTTCCGTTTTCAGGAATTTTAAACACTTGTTTATTTAATATTAAAGATTCCTTCATTATGTTAATAAAGTCTTATTTGACTGCGAAATAAGTAATATGGTTATAAATAAAGAAAACGAGTACAAAACTCTCAATACACTTCAAATTAAGTCAAACAAGGTAAAGCCCTATAATGTAGAGCTTACACTACAAGGTAGAGTTTTGAAACTACAGAATGATAAGCCCTATAATTCTGTAGTTTCAAAACTCTTTCAAAAATTAAAGCTTGTTCAATTCTAGACTTTTACAAACAATTTGGAATACGCACATATGACAGGTATTACTAAATTTAAGGCAGTTTCTGCTAAATATATTATTTTGTCAAATTAACCTAAAAGTTAATATTTTACAAACATTAGATTACGTAACTTTATACTTACTCAAATACATTTCTAAAGTGAAACCTATTATACGATCGTTCTAAAATTGGTTCAGGCTTATGTTGAACTTGTTTGCATAATATACCTATATCAATTTAATCAATTTTTTCGAAAATCCGAATAAAATTTTCTTCGTTAGTGAATAAAAGGCATATTGATATGCGAGCTAGAATCACACTGTGGTGGGTGGGTGCAGTACACGTACAGTAATTCCCTTTTGAATATGAGATTTCTCAGAGTGAAACCTCTTTATTAGTTTTACACTTTCAGCGGAAATATAAGCTTGGTTTGAAATTCATTTGTCAATTATATTCATTTGTTTGTAATATATGGACATGATTGTTTGTCTGTCTTTGTAAGATAATTTCACATGATTTCATTGAAGAAATGTTATTAATATTTTTTGAAATATTTATCAATGTACCTACTAATAATATATGTATGATGATCTCATCTATCTCTCATTTTATTCTATACAAGAGTTTGGCCTGTCTATCACTGTTATTATTTAAATATGCTGTATAATTAAGAGTTGAAAATTGATATAATATACTTTATAGGTATATTGATTTATTTAAATACGTCCGTCCTTTTGATCACTACTAAATGACGGACGCTTAGAATAAATAATTATTGTCATAGAATCAAACCTTTGAAATTGTGGACACGACACTCATTCTAAATTAGCTGCCAACTCACATTTGACTCTTGACCTTTTTCGCGTCAGCTATAGATATGTACATTACCTCCAATCTATGTGAAAAGGTGCGACAGTTCCAAGAATAGTACTCTTGCCTAATAGTGCCATTAAACTCCATTCTTTGAAGACTATGTTTGCATCGTTTGATCAAGCATTGAGTCATCATTACGTATACCTACTGTAAACATAGATCGATTTTACACTCATACTGCTAAAAGGTTGTATAAAATAATTTAAAAAAAATTAGTCATAATTATTATCATTTAAAAAAAATCTAGTTATATACTCTGTCCGTGCAGTTTAAAAATAACGGGATTTGTATTCAAACTTGTAACCCCTTTATTACCCCTCCAGGGATAGATTCATGATTTTAAATGAAAACATGATATTATTCAAATTTAAAATTTATTGTTGTTGCTTGCATTATGATTTTTCGAGTATCGTGTTAGTTTTAAATACGATTTGCATATTTTAACACTTGTCGAATTGAGTTTTGTTCAAAAGAACATATTAATTAAAATTACGACGAAGAGAACTATGAGAACACGAGCATTGTTGTTGGAGAAATTACAATCTAAATTTAATCTGGTTTTGATTTTCAAAACGTGGAATTATAAGCTTTTTATGAATTAGAAAAGTCAAAAGAAGCTGGGAAATATCTTTTACACAAACATATTGTTTGCACGTGAAAATTAACCTTAGTTTCCTTTTGTAATATACTTCTATTACGATCGTAAAAGTTTTTGTAATGGAGTAGTAGCAGTCCAGCTTTTACTTAGAATTAGTTTATGTTTCGTATCCTTTACAGCCCCGGGCAATATAAAGTAGGAGTCCAATTAGGTTGGACATTAAAATAAAATTAATTCCACATGTTCGTGTAAAGCCGGAGGTAGAAGTTAATTTATCAGAATATGTAAAAAACGATAGCATTTCATCTTAATTACAGTATCCGAGAAATGCATTTTCCTCGCAATTTTACCATAAAGATGTACGCCACATTACTCTCCATAAATCGTTTTATATGAAACTGAACATAAATAGGTCGTAATTATGCACTTATGAAGCACGCCAGCCGTGAGCGTCGTTCCATTCAGATATTACTTTCATATATAATCTGTGCTCTCATATCATAAATACTGAACGGGGTTCGTTTAACATTTAGAAATTATTTTGTTTTTCTGATCGTTCCAGCTGAATGAAAAAAAATATAGGAAACATGATGTAACACTAACAAAAATAGCACGTTTTTGATTAACATAACAAAGTAAACAATATAAGACGCTTAAGTGATAAACGAATGTTGGGTTTTTTTAGCCCATACTCAAATATACATTAAGGATCTAACTACATATTATACCGTTTTCCTCTTTTGATACAGTACACAAAATAATGTTTAGAATTACTGTAGAATAATCTCTGTAATTTTGCTTAAAGGAATAAATTATTTAAGCCGACAAAAGAATTTTTATATCACAAAATATTTTCCATTGGCCACTAAGAACAGTACTTATCCTAATTATATTTTTAATTTTTAATGATGACACTTCGTTGAAGTAAAGTAAGATGTTAATTTATTTAAAACATGGCTCTACCTCGTTCTAACGTATAAAGTAGCAAGTTTATTTTAACATAATTATTCAAATAATGCGATGCTGCAGCTGTGACAATTTCCTCCCTTTAATCTTACGTCGTACATATGTAAATATTACCTGTAAATAAATAAATATGGATTAATTTTATCTGTAGTTAAAATTTAATTTGTATTCAAAAGAGATATCAAAATATCTAATTTGTGTCTTCAGATATTATATCCAATATTTTATATTTTACGGTGAACTACTGAGTTTATTTGAAATATTCTAATTAAAGTCACGGAAGAAATAGTCTCTCCCGTGACCATGATTGCTGTATAGCATTCGAAACGTCGGGAATCAAATTTGAAAATAAATCCGTGGAAAGATTTTTTTATTTTATTTTAACATTTAATATACATTTTTCAAGAATGAGATGATTTCCCGCAGTAAAAAATATCCTATATTTGACCCGGATAACCAGCTATCATCATACCAAGTTTCATTAAAATCTGTGCAGTGGTTTTTCAAGTGATGCGTTCCCAGACAGACAAACAAAAATTCTAAAATGAATAGATTAGGCCTTTGTATCGATAATAATGACTAATTCAATAAGATTTTACAAAAAATATTTAATTTACAGATTTACTATTAGAATTTTATTATATATGTATATTGATGTCAAATATTCGCTTCAATCTAAGAAAGTATTATATTAAAATTTTATTTTACTGTACATTGTACAACATAGGCTGATCTAATCGACAAGCGGATAAACAAAAAAAACTATAAAAAGCTTACAATATTTATTTATAACACGTTTTTTAATTTTTTTATTTAATTTTAAACAGGAGGGGAATTACCGCCGCCATCGTTACTAAAAAATAAAATAATAATAAAGAACAAAAAGAAACATCATCACCATCACAAGAAGGAAGAGACCGTTACAGTGACAGAGGAAGATAAAAGCGAGGCCGTGCCGCAGGGCAACGGCGATATCGCACATGGACCGGTGAGATATTATTGTAGCAAATGTATACAAATAAATGGCTTTTATATTATTATGTTTATGTTATATAGCCTCTTTAGAAGATGGCTTGATTTATATTTTTGAAATGATAAAGTTAATTATACTATGATATTCTTGGGAAAACAGCTGTGGATTTAAATCCTAATTGCGTTGTGGTTATCCGTTTTGCCGATGTATTGTGACTACTTTAGTATGTTATAATAATTTTGTTAGTTTTATATCACTACTAGCATTGCCCACGGCTCCGCCCGCGTTCAGATGATCAAAAACCAAATTCTTAGGTTTTTTGCCTCTTCGGCTTGTGCAAATCGGCAGATTATTGAATTGGACACTTTTCAGGATGTGACTAGCCTACCACACCTTAATCTGACGGTTTCAAGTATTTCTACCTTATCAAAACATTTTTTAAATATTTTAATCGGCTTCCCTAGACGCGCCCCTTTATATAGAAGACTTATATTATGGTGAAAGTACTCAATAGAGTGCAAGGTAACCTCTTTTATGTTAATCTGCCGCGCTCGAGTAACTCAAAAGTTTAACAAAATCTAATCAGTAGTTTTTGTGTACTAAACTGTATAAGTTATTATAGTTTTTTTACTATCCCACGGAAACTATTTAATTTTCCGGGATAAAAAGTATCTAAGATGTTGCCCGGGGATATAAGCTACTACCATGCAAAATTTCATTTAAATCGGTCCAATAGATTCGGAGATTAGCCCGTACAAACAGACAAACAGACAGAAACAAAAAAATTGAAAAAATCTGGATTTGTTCTATTTGTCTTTTTACGTCCCCTTGACTCGGTTTTTAGCATTTTTTTGCTATGTACAGACATTCGACCTCTACTGTTTTATTATAGTGTAGATTATAGATGGTCCGAATATTTTCTTTCTAAAGTTTAGTTTTTTGAGTTTTCTTTAAAAAATTGTACATTGTACTTATAAAATAAATAAAATTTTAAATATATAAAAATACAATTTTATGTTATCTTTAAATAAAATAAAAAAATACGATACTCGAGCTTGCCTTCGCCTAAAGTCTAAATCAGTCCGATCGCAGATCTTATCTATAAAGACTGTTGCCGGTTTTTACACTATCTGTAGCTTGCAATACGAAAATAGCTAATAAACGTAGAAAAAAGAAACTGTCAGATCTTGACTATTCACAAATTGTATGTCCCCACAGAAATAGCCAAGAACTTTGATAAAATGTTCTTAGAGATAAATCAAAGTAAAATTCACAACGAGTACCTTCCATTGTGAGCTCCACTTCCTATCGTGAAATATTTCATTAGACCTTTGGCATCTTACTTTATGGCAGATTTTTAAATAAAATATAGTGTATAGAATAGGAATAAGCGTATAAGTTTGTCACGCTGCTGCCACTATAATCACTTTTTTTAATGTTTGATTTAAGGACTAACTAACTAACACCTATTATGGTAGTATATATATATATATATATATATATATATATATATATATATACACTACCATAAGCGAGAAGTGCTGACTCTCATATTTGTTTGATGTATTATCTCGAACGTATTTTTGTCTAACTAATATATGGACGATAATATTAACACAATTTATTTAAAATACAAAAGTCAGGTCACTTTAAAAGTAATTATTCCACAATAAGTGGTGGAATTAATTTTTGAATTTTACATAGGGCTAGGAAATAATAATAACAAATATTAGTAGAAAAGAATCATGAAAATTGGTTTTAAAATAAACCGTTACATACACTAAAAACACAGTTGAGCAACTCATATACACATTCTTTTTTAAATTGGTCACTTAATAGTAGAGTTTTAAAATGACTCGGATGTTTATAAGCACGATGCCAAATGCTACATAACCATTAAAATACTTTAAAAATTAGTAGTTATCTATCACTTACACGACGTATAGTTTAGACAAGACATATTGCATAATTTATATACCTAGAGGATACAACTGCCTCATAGTAACCGTCTTCAGCTAAAAGAGTAACAAACATACACACATACAAAAAAACAATTATTAATAAATATTTTAAATCATAGTCCGATGATATTTGCTGTGGTTTTCCAAACAAGTCATTATAGCTACAAAATGCCTATTCGTAGTATCGTACGTTTATTCATTGAAATTCGTATCTGAGCTTCGTTAGGCAGTATTAGTGCGTTTGCAGCCTAATTAATAATGTTATCGGCTATCGTGTAATGCCGCAGGGTGACGACGAGAAAGGGTTGGTATACTATAGAGCAAAATTGTATGAAAATACAGACATACTCGTATTACTGATAATGTATAGCGTTAATGTTTATATGCAATGGTTATACTCACTTATTATTATAATTGTGAAAATCTGTTTGTTTGTTTCGTTTTACTTACGTATTTATAAATAGAATATTGATATAGGATAGGATATTAATGGTTTGTGCAGGAAATTAATTTTTCGGTGATTTCGAATTTTGACATCCGGATTCCATCAGACAGACAGATCGATAAATCACGAGGTGGAGCTTGGGTAGAGTCTTTTAAATTACTTTAGGTTTTGTTAATATTGTTGTACACTGGTATTTATATAATACTTATTGCATAGTTTTCAACGTAGAAGTTAATAAAAAAGAAGAAATTTAAATCAAGTTCCATATCCCGTGTTACAAAGTTATAAAGACGACAAAGTGACTTTGATAACTAACAATGAAGTATAATTTAATTAATTATATATGAGTCTAACTCGCTACTTGTATATCGCCATATTTACGTATACTTTTGGTGATTTGATTTAAAAGAATAGTAATATATTATAGTTTAAATATAGACTATAAGCTTTTACCTCAATCACTTGATCTATAAAAGAAGCTTATGTCAGGTCGTAATAATGTATATGTGTAGTATATTAGCTGACCTGAGCAGTCTAATTTTATAGAAAAAAGCACTTTGAGTTTCTCTCGAATATCCCAATTATCTGGATAATTTTTCTAAATCTATCCCCTTAAAAACGTATTTGGACTATTGCGAACACTTAAAAAAAATTTGCCATAATGGCCCAGCCACTCTTTAGTGATTTGCTCACCATCAAACGCTATTTCATCTTTATTACAGATAGATTCTCTTATGATTTAGTGCCCAAACGGCAAACCTAGAAGCCATTTATCATAAGAATTGAATTGACTCTCTTATATTATACTAGCTGACCCGACAGACGTTGTCCTGTCTACATGTCTTTAATTTGAAAATTTCAAACTTTTTTTAATAAGCTAAAACATCTGGACCATTTTGAAGACAGACCATAGAAGAAAAAATTTGACAATGTCAATACAAAATTTATTGTGTAATCGAAATTTATTTTAAAATATATCCAAAAATAACATTAATAATTGAATTAATAGTACAAAAAATGTTTTAAAACACAACAAAATCGAAAGTGCATAATATTTAACACCATTCAGACAAAGAAAGACAATAGCATTCCCAAGGAGGGTTGACGTCAGGCAGGCGGCCGGTCGTAAAACTTTTGCCAAATCCTATCAGCAGTACACTGAAGATGTACTGCGCCGACCCCAAGTGATTTGGGAAATGGGCAGGGAGAAGAAGAAAGATTCTGGGCCATTTTGATGAAAATTATTATTCAAATTGTGAATCTAAACCATTCTCAGATCCCCTTGAACACACACAAAAAATTTCATCAAAATCGGTCCAGTCGTTTGAGAGAAGTTCAGTGACATACACACTCACAGAAGAATTATATATATAAAGATGTATTCAAATATATTTTCTTTCTTTTATTATATTTTATATATAATAACTAGCATTGCCCGCGACTCCGCCCGCGTTCAGATTACCAAAAACGGAATTCTTAGGTTTTACATATTAGTATACTTTTACAATGCAGTTTTCGTAATTTTTCTCGGAAATGAGAAATTTTCCCGCGGTAAAAAGTATCCTATATGTTGACCCGGATAACTAGCTATCACCATACCAAATTTCATGAAAACCCCTGCAGTGGTTTTTCCGTGATGCGGTAACAGACATACAGATAAAAATTCTAAAAACTATAGTTTCGGCCTCGATATCGATAATAATGTCTATTTCAATAAGATTTTCCAAAAAATATTTAAGGTACAGATTCGGCTTAGATACAATTTTATTATATGTATAGATAATGTTCTCCTGATCGATTCCGGCCACGGCGGCCAATCTCATTGAGACTAGCCAACTGCGCAGGAAATATTATAGTGCACAAGTGTACGCGCAGACGCAAGTGCACTCTCTATTCCTGTCACTCTCATACTCCGGTGGGACGACTGTTCGACACGACCGGTGAGAGTAAAGGCGCAGGACTGACGGCTTTACGTGCTCTCTGAGGCACGGGGGTGAAACACCGCCAACTTCCCAACTCCGGGCTGTTACTGAGGCTTACTATACAGAAAGACTCAATAACTAAACTTGGCCCGACCCCCGGGACTCGAGCCCAGGACCTCCGGGTGTGCAGCCGTACATGCTAGCCACTACACCACCCGAGGCAGTGTATCTTATATATAATTTACATTATTATTAATAAAAGTCTTTCATATCTTCCATCACAGTTAGTTCGTCAAGGGTCCAAAGATTCTTCCGATTCATCAGAAACGGAGAGCTCGAGTGAGGAAGAAGGCGGGGCAGAGGCAGAAGGCGGTCCGGCAGAAGAGGCCCGAGAGACTCACGCCGCGGCCGAAATATCGGCTTTGGTTAATTATGTCCAACCAGTTCATTTCTCATCCTTTGAAAATGCTGAGAGTGAGTATTGTGTAACTTGTTTTTTTCGTCTAAACTTTGGTCTAGTCTAGATTTGAAAAGTGCAGATTGTTTGTTCGAATCCTGGCTTAGGCCGAATTCTCATTTAGACTTCATAATGATGATCATCAGATCCTTGGTGAGGTTTTAATTCCCGGTTCTAATAAAATTGGGTCGGAGGAAGATTACAATTAAGATTAAAGGCGTATCTACTCTACACCGTTTATGTATAATTTGTTTTTATGATAACACATAAATCATAATTAATTAGCTCCTTATTAAAAACATTAACGTACGAGTAGCTCTTTATATTAAAGAGTGGTGCTGATATATGTACATCGCTACACGTAACTTGATAAATGGTTTCAAAATTAAGTAATAATAATAAAATTATGTTAGTTTGAAGCTTAAAGTGGAGTGCTTGGAGTACATGGAAACTTTAGAAGGATTATTATCTTTTTACTCAAACACGGCCTTTTCAAAAATAAATTTAAGAAATATCTGCCCTTACCCTACTTGCTCTGTCAGTGGTCGCGGGTTCGAGTCTCGCTGGGGGCATTCGTTTGTGTGATGAGCACGAATGCTTGTACTCCAATGTGTTTATATTTATATACGTATGTGTAGTGTATCAACTATCTAGTATCCATAACACAAGCCTCGTAGCTTACCATGGAACTAGATGGTGCTGTGTGTCAATGGCCCAACATATTTATATTTAAATATAATTAGCCATAATCGCAATAGTGTAGAGAACTAAAGTTAAAGAATTATATATAAGAAATTATAAAACGTATTGTATGTGTTCACAAAAGAAAAGAATCGTTTCTACGAGATGTCATCGTTTGACGAAAAGCAAGCCACGACGTTACTCAAAGAGCGGCCCATCGAGTTCGTCAACTATAACAAACATCAGTTATCGAGAGTGTACCCCGCGGGTACAAGGTTCGATTCCTCCAACTTCATGCCACAAGTAAGTGTTTTAAATAGTTAATTTTGCGATTAAACTAAATATATTGGATTATTTCATGCTGAAAGCTGAACGGATTTGGGTTAATTTTCGATAGACTGACTTAGTATAAATCATAGGCTAATCTCAGGCACCTGGGAAAGCATTTCGGTGTAGCGTAGTCGCTAGTGCACATATATTTTGAAACCAATTTAATAAATACTAGCGACTCACCCTCGCTTCGCACGGGTTCGTCCCTAGCTTGATTTCCAATACAAATTTTCATCACCATTTTCACCCCCTTAATGGATGATTTCCGGGATAAAAAGTCTCAAACTATCTTCTTACCAAATTTCATCTAAATAGGTTCAGTAGATCCAGAGATTACCTCCTACAACGTCACAAACTCACAAACTTTACCTCTTAATTATATTAATATAGACTAACGACTCACCCTCACTCCGCTTACATTTTAACGTTTAATATAGATTTCTCAGAGATGAGATATTTTCCCGCAATGAAAAGAATCCTATATGTTGACCCGGATAACCAGCTACCATCATACCAAAGTTCATCAAAATCTATCCTCTGATTTTCTCGATACGCGTTCCCAGACAGTCAGTCAGACAGACAGACAGACAATTAGAAATGCGTTTGAAGCGAAGGTGTGTTCAAAATCGAAAGTCAAGTGTATATGATATATTTTTTCACTGTTACTTTGCTTATCCGATATTAGATTTTAAACGGATGACTGTAAAGAGATTTTATTAACTTTTACAAAATATTTCTATAATAAAATAGGCTATTTTTCCTCTGCGAAATGGTAACCGCAGGATAAAGTATAAAGGTCCCAAATTTAGGTTTATAAATTTTCACGACACGTTTGTCTCAGTTTGTAGTGGTTGTACTTGCTGTGCCAGCGGTCGTGGGTTCGAGTCCCGCTGGGAGCATTCATTTGTGTGATGAGCACGAATGTTTGTACTCCAGTCATGGGTGTTTATATTTATAATATGTTTGTATTTAAAGTTATTTGTCTACTGTATCAACTATCTGGTAGCCATAACACAGACCTCGTAGCTTATCATAGAACTAGATGGTGCTGTGTGTTAATGTCCCAACATTATTTATTTATTATAATTTTTTTGGCTCGTTAGTGAAAGCCGAATCGAAATTTTGGCTAGTCGCTACGATAATATTGATATTTGAATAGGCAATACGCATTATAAAGTAAGTAAAGTTAGCTTATACGATTTTAGGTGTTCTGGAACGCGGGCTGCCAATTAGTGGCTCTCAACTATCAAACTCTGGATCTCGCGATGCAACTTAACTTGGGAACTTTTGAATATAACCGGCGATGCGGGTACTTACTTAAACCAGAGTTCATGAGGAGAAAGGTAAGGAAAATGAGAATTCTATTGAAATCTCGACTTACATATTTCATAAAATATTTTCTTTGTTTAGTTTTCCTTTTAGATTTTTCTGCGTTTTGTTATTTTAGATGAGATAGCGGCATTGTATTTGAAACGGTGAGTTAAATGCTTGAATTAAACTTGTCTATTTGGGCCGTATTGTACAGATAATTCAAGTTTATAGCATTGCATTGATTTAACCTATTGTAATTATGTATTACAATGTTAGGTTTCAGAATAAGTAAAATATGAAAACATCAAGGATGTTTGGGAAACTGAGTGAAGCGGGTTCAAATCCCGGGTCTTTTACCTCTAGTATTTTCATGTGCGAATCATTTCTAACATAATTACCACTTGCCTTACGGTTAAGAAAAACATCGTGAGGAAACTTTAATGTCTGAAAAAATCAAGCAAGTTTTCAAAAGACATGTGCAGTCCGCCAAACCGCACTCGGCCACGTGGTGGACTATAGCCTGATCCCCCTCGTATTGAAGGGAGGCCCGTTCCCAGTGGGGTGTTAAAAAAGGCTGAATGCATACATACATACATACATACATACATACATACATACATACATACATACATACATACATACATACATACATACATACATAAATACATACATAAATACATACATACATACATACATATATACATACATACATACATACAACAGGGACTAAAGAGCGCAGAAAACGAGATTATGAAATAATTGCAGAACATTTTTGACATGCTTAACGAATTATTTGTTAGCTTTGACGCTTTCACACATAAATTACATACTTGACATGTTAGAAATACTAGATGTTTAGTATATTTCATAGATTTCAGGGCGATTTATATCATTTATGTTTATTTCAAAAAATATTTTAATAAATAGAATACCGATATTATTCCTTCCTAATTAAATTATGTTTGATAATTCATTACACTTTTAACACATTCAGATAAATTTCTAAGAAATTAATTAAATTTCTAAGTAATCTATTGTTAACTGTAACGCCGGGGTGTCCGCGGTCGTGGAGGGATTAAAATCTTTTTTCCTTAATAATTAAGTATAATAACTAAACAGGACCGTCGCCTAGACCCATTCGCGGAGAGTACGGTGGACGGAATCATCGCCGGCTCCCTCTCCGTCAGCGTGGTCTCCGGGCAGCTGCTGACGGACAAGCGCACAGGCACGTACGTGGAGGTGGACATGTTCGGGCTGCCGGCGGACACTGTCCGCAAGAAGTTTCGGACGAGAGTCGTCCCCAATAATGGGATTAATCCCGTCTATGGGGATGAGCCGTTTGTTTTTAAGAAGGTGGGCTGTTTATATATTTCCAACAATTATTCTTTAAAATTGATATTTATGGATATTATTTTTGGTGTTTATTTTTTAGTTTATTATTTGATGAATGTTGTTGTATATTTAGTTAAAAATTATGCTTTTAATACTTTTTTTGGTAAAATATGTTCTGTTTTATCTAAGTGTTATTTTTTTATGAATACAAAGAAATAGGTAATTTTTTGTATATATCTAAATAAGCGATTCTTATTATTTTTTTATATAATATGGAAATGAAGTTAATACAATTCAGAATTTTACAAAGAGTTTGCCAAACTTCCATTCTATAAACCTTAACCTAAAACATTTTTAATATAAATATAACAAAGTAAGTTGCGTTGTAGTTGAAGTGCTAAGTTGGAAATCACTTCAAACTTTTGCACTCATAAAACTTCCCGTTTTGTTAAGGTGAATTTTATAGATTGTTTAAGAAACAAAATACTTTTTTAAAAGGTACACTTACTTGATTTTTGGTTCCCGACGTTTCGAATGCTTTACAGCAATCATGGATACAGGAGAGGGGGACTACGTTTTTAGACGTCTTAAATGTCATTATAATTATACTTGTTGCAATCGAAATGTCGGGAACCAAACATTTAAATGAATCCGCGAAAAAATCCAACAAGATAGTTTTATTTAAAATGTCAAATATTGGCGTAAATCTAAAAAAGTATTAGTTACACTTAATTCAAAAATATTTAAAGTAGTAATTTTACCTTGACATTATGAACAAACAGACAGACAGACAGAAAGACAAAAATATTAAAAACTGTGTTTTTCTTATATGTACCGTATAGGTAGGTATACTTTCATTAAGGGATTGATTTTTAGACCATCTTTGTGGTATAACCTATGTATACATTTAAAAAATTAGTACACTTTATTATTTATATATTATATTATAATCAAATCAAAATATTTTTTTTAAATAGAGTTTCACAAGGCCTATTGAATTATTGTTTTTCATTTTTCAATATAAACATAAAACTCAATAAGCAACAACACAAGTCTAAATCAAATCTCAAAATTAATATCAACACGCAATTTTCTTTGAATATCGTATTTATTTTACAGCCATCTGTCATTTGTTATCTCGATATATAATAGATTAAAATAGAAAAAAATCAGGCGTAAATCTTTATAGGAAACAACATTCCGAGTCGTATTTTAAACGCGACGTTGATCAGAGATATGGTCGATGTCTTTATCTCGAGTTGTGTGGAATGCAACAGATGAATAGTAAATAAATAAACGCACGCGTTAATAATCCACGTACGGTTTCATTGTGCCATAAATTAGTTCTTTTGTGATATTTTCAGTATGTTTTTTCGAACAACATGAGTTTTTTTTTGTTTTGTTACCACGCGTATAACTCATAAAGCGGCTAAACAATACTTTTTTTATGAATTTGTTGTATATTTCAAGGTATTTTTTTTTTTGTAATCATCGTGTGTGTGTTTCGTATTATATTACGTTTAAAAAAAGGCATGACAGTGGTTATTTCAATAAGAAATATGTATTTTTTAATTACAATGTTTTTTTTACCATCCTTCTATGGGTCCTACGATGTCGTAGTATGGCATGGGGTTGTTATTGGCTAGTGCAAAGGGCATAAGTTCATACATATTATGTATTGAGAACATGAGTGTTTTTATTCTTATAAGGAAAAGTACTTAGATACAAAAAAATAGGAGGAGAAAGAGCGCTACTGAAAATCATTTTGATTCGTTTCTTTCACATTATAAAAACGAACGTTGCTCTCCCGTCAGTCTGTCACGTGACCTTGATTGTTGTAAAACATTTGGAACGTCGGGAACGGGAATTAAGATCCGAAAAGATAGTATTATTTAAAATAAACATTAATTTACTTATTACTATTAATGTCTAGTTATTATGTAACTATTATTTACATTGGGAAACTTTTCCATATAATAAATGTAAAGGTTTTTGTTCTAAAGTTTTATGTGGTGTTTATGTTACTCGTGAACTTATAAAGTCTATTGTTACAATACTCTAACTTTCCACTCGCTTATGTTTGTTACGTTCTGTGGTTTACTTATTGTGCCTATTATAATATTTTTCTTTCAGTTTCAATACTGTGGACTTTTTTAAAGTTTTGACGTTAAATAAATGCTCGTTTTTGTTTTACTGACTTCGTCCTATGTCACTATTGCTTGAATTGAAAGAAAAAGTCGTTTTTTAACCCTTCTAAAGATTAGAGCGTCCATAGAAATAAATTTTTGCAGTGATGCTTAGGATTTGGTATCAGCTCAAAATGGGATAGGGATAGCTATTATGAAATCACAGTTACTACTGTCACAACTTATTTTATACTTTAGGGATTAGCTATTGAAATTAATAGTGATTCATACTCTAGTTAAGAGAATTGTCAGTTATACGTCTCATACTAATTGTTTTAATATTTAATATCAATAGAAGATGGCACTAAGTGAAAACCGAATATTTTATCTTTTTGTTTGGAATTTCCTACTCTTAATGTCAAATTTATGGAGAATTTCTAAATTAGGAAACAGTTCCAATCTTTCTAACCTAATCATTGAAATAATTTTAGACCATTTTCAACTATAAACTAAAGATCAATACAATTCCAGGTGGTCCTACCCGAATTAGCAATGCTGCGTATAGCAGCTCACGAGGAAAGCGGGCGGCTATTAGGGCACCGGGTGCTCCCGGTCCTAGGGCTCTGCCCCGGCTACAGACACGTAGGGCTTCGCACCGAACTAGGTCTCCCTCTCACAGCCAGTCTACTCCTACACGTGCAAGTCAAGGTGAACTACAGTAACTATGTAAGGTTGATTCTATACGCGCTTTCATGTTAATAACTTGGGGGGGTTTGAGCGTTTTTAAGTCTTTGTGTTTGTATGGGAAGGGGGGTTGTGTTTTGTTTTTATTTATTTATTTATTTATTTATTTATTTATGTACCATAAAATATACGTTATACAAAATAAAATAACAAAATGTTGACAAAGGATAACTTATCTCTTTAAGAGATTTCTTCCAGAAACCCTTCAGAAGTGAGAAAATAAGTTAATATAGTGCGGTGTAGGTACAGTACAGCATTGAATGGAATTGTCTTATTATTAAAATACATATATTAACTAAATATTATGATTATACAAATATATATATATATATATTCACATACATATATATATACATACATATATACATACATACATACAAACAAACATATATACTTACATATAAATACATACTAATCTACAATAATTTATGTCTGATTTGATAAATAGTATTGTTTAATTCTAAACTTAAATGTTTTTTGTATTGTTTCAATTTTTGTGTTTTATTTTTGTAATATTCAATTAATGTTAATCTTGTCATTTGACTGATATTGTATTTGATATTTGTTCTATGTAATTTTGCTTTATATAGAGAATAAAAAAAACAACAAAAAACGTGCTACAAAACAGAATATTCACTAACATTTTGCATGCATTGCATGTGTCATATATGTATTTTTTGACAAGTCATCAAATAAAATGTCTTATAAATTATTTCATTCACTTGTTCAATTTCATTCATATTGATTAAACTCATACATTGCTCGATGCTCTAGTTTCATTCAATTGTAAACAGACACAAATATTTTATTACATAAATTAAATAATACTTTTCCATATAGGACTACGTACCAGACCGTCTATCGGAGTTAGCCGAGGCTTTGGCTAATCCAATCAAGTATCAAAGCGATATGGAAAAACGTTCACATCAACTCGCAGTATTAACGGATGACACTGAAGAGCCTACAAGAGACACTGTTAAAAGACCAATCACGCATCTGGGACCTGTGACTGTGAGAATTTTATTATAATTACTTATATTCTATTGCCTATTATATGTGGGAAGGTGTGGGTTCGATTACGGGGTAAATAAATGTTTGTATCGTTGTTTCAGTCTAGTTAAAAATGAGGAGAGCGTAGTTTGTAAGCGATATGTCGCTTCGCTTTTTATCTGTTTATACTATGATTTATATTGTTCAAATATATATAAAATCTTTCTTGTTTTAAAATCATGCGTAGGTAGGATTAGATTAAGACACTTTTTTAAGCATTTTATCTTATTTAGTATTTTTTAATATATAATATATAAAAACTTTTTAGCATGCTTCATTAAAAAATAACGTTCGAAGCTCTATTCTTGTAAAACGACGATGTTTATAAAAACCGTGTTATTGAGAAATTGTTTAGTATTCTATTGTTAAAAGAATTCACAGAATCGGTTTATTAGATCAAAAAATTACACTTCACAAACAAAAACTTATATAAGATACAGTTTTCTTCACTGTTTATAAATAACTAGCGACTTACCGTCGTGTCGCTCGGGTACGTTCCTAAGTACGTGGATTTGTCACAGAATTTCATGGGTTATAATTTGTTTGCGCGGAGCCCTGATTCTTTTTCTAAAATAAAAGTAGCCTAACTTTCTCTTTATAACATCAGCTATCTTCCAAGAAAAGTCCCGTCAAAATTGATCCAGCTGTTTCGGAGATTAGCTTGAACAAAAAGACAGACAAAAATATTAAAAATTGTGTTTTTCTTATATGTACCGTATATACTTTCATATAAATTTAGTAAAAAATTGTTATTTTGATATTACAAACAGACACTTTTATTTTATTTATCTGTACAGATACAGAGTTCTTCACTGTTTAAACATCATGAGAAAACGTGCTAGTCTGTAATAAGTAACATGTAACGTGATAACTTAATTAGTTTACGAAACACGTGTAACATGCCCTAACCTATATTTAGATATCGTGGTGGGCTATAGATTACTCCCCCTCGCAATTAGGAAGGCTCGTGCCCATCAGTGGGACGTTAAATGGTGGATTTAATTTATTTTTATTCGTAAAGGACCATTAGACTGCTATTATAAAGGCGAAAGTTTTTATGTTTGTTTGTCACATTAAAATGGCTGAACAGATTTGGATGAAATTTGGTACACACATATACTGACCTGGAGTACACTTCTTCTGTCTTATTCGTCTAAACGACCAATTTTCCGTAAAGTTTTTAATGCGCAATTATTGACTTTTAAATTTCAATTCTATTGGTATGAAATACACATTTTATTTTAATACAGCCGAGAAAGTCTATTTTATCTCTTTATAGTATAATATCCATACTACTAATACCTATTATAAATGTGAAAGTGTGTTTATTTCTTTGTTTGTATGTCCTTCTTTCACGTCGAAACAGAGTGACCGATTAGAGTGATTTATACTTTTGCCGCGAGAGATTATCTCATTTCTACGGGAAAACACGTTATAATACAATCCAAAAAAAATTTTATGATCAGAATTATTTTTTTCGAAATTCATCCCATAAGGGGGTATAATAGAGGATGAAGGTTTGTATGAAACCTACCTATTTAGATATTTTTTTATAGTTTTAGCGCGAGTGAAGCCGCGGGTAATGCTAGTAGAAAAAAAATTCTTAGAAATAAAGCTTTGTGTTTAAAAATAGACTAAAAAACTTCACTGTAAAGTACAATAAGTATTGGTCGTATGAACAAATAAGTAATAAGAAGACGTACTGCTAGGCACCTAAGGAAGCGCCCAAATAATGAGATTATAAGAATAATATTTTTATTTCAGGATACACCAATATGTCCGGGGGGCAGTCCGAATAAACCCAACACGTCGACGGAACCGAAGACCAATGAGACTGATACCCAACCAAGTGAACCTGAAAAAGTAGAACAAGGTCTGTCCTGTAAAGTTTTTATATGCTGTATTAGTTATGTTATGATTGATGGTGTCAATAATAGGGAATACGTATGTTTTTTTATTTTGTATACAATAGCTTACATCGTTATGTAATTGTAAAAAAAATATCCAGATTATTTATAAGATATAAAATATCTATATAAAAAACTAAAATTTTGTATTAAAAAAAATAAAAAATATCATACCGATATGCACACTTTAAACGCTCGCTGTTTTGCGCCTTTGGCGTGACGTCACAGTATGATATACACAGAAAAATGACGACTCAATTTGTAGCGAACAAAATCGCTAATTGCTCTTTTATGATAATACTCTGACGTCATATTCGGTCTGACCAATGGCGTGCGTTGCAACTACTTTGAATTTCCCACCTATATTTGCACTTTTTAATAATTATTTTCTTAATCAAAAAGGAATTTCGTTAAAAAATACTAATATAGGCTTAATTCTTAAGCAATAAAGATTATAAAAAAGATATTTGACCTTTATTTAAATCACACGCATATTCGCTATTATTATTATTTTTTTTAATTTTTATTCTACTGAAAAACAGCTAAACTTTAGGTCACATTCCGTTCTTTGCATTATTTTATTGTTTTAAGAAATAAAAATACGCTTTTGACTGTTTGTATGGGAAACATTTTGAAGGATTTAATAGCTATTGACGAGTTCATCTTTCCACTGTCTGTCATCAAATGCTGTAAATTTTCTATACAAAAAACAAGAAAAAAATTAGACAACTAAGTTTTCTACTAGCAACTAAACACAAGATTCGAATTATGTTAGCTTTACCAAAAAAACCCGACTGCATAAAAGGCCAACAAAAAGATGCATAAAAAGCTGCAAGACTGCATAAAAAGCTAACAAAAAACTAGTTGACGAAGGAAAATAGTATTATGCAGTCGGAGACATACATATATGTACATGTTTTATAATAGCCGTGTGTGATTTATTATTTGTTGTTATTTAAACGGTAATAGAAATACATATACTCTGTGAAAATATCCACTGTCTATCTATAACGTTTCATGAGATACAGCCCTCTGACAGAGGGACGGACGGGTTCCGTTGGCACCCTTCGGCTACGGAACCCTAAAAAAGCTCGAAGACCTAAAGTCAATATTTTATCTATTTGATTATTATACATACATTAATTATTTAAACCAAAATCTTGATGAACTATTGTTGCGCTATTATTATTATATTAACGGCCCCCGCCGGACTAGCAAATACTTTTCTAACGACAACGATAGGACTCGCCAGTGGCGGCAACTAGTGCCATACATAGACATAACCAGAAACGATAGCCCTCATTGGAATTTCTTTAACCAGATTCGACACATCTTTAACAAAAATAAAACAAAAAAAAATTGGTTCGAGTACCTTTAGGCGCGGTTGAAGTAAAATTTCTTTCGCAAATATCGCAGTTAAATTAAAATAAATTGAAAAGTAAAGCACGTTAGGCATATTACAATCATATATTTATTATTTCTAAAAAATCATTTACGGAAAATTTATCATATACACAAAGAATATAATATTATATATCATTTCTCAGACAATAACAACGGCTACCATGGCAACAATTAGTCATGATAGCGTGAAATGTATTCTGACTCATTCTCTCGCTCTTTATCCATATAGGATTAAGCCGGCTACATATGTGATTGTCTCTCTCTCGTGTCGCATTTCCGCTTCATCGAGTTTCAAATCACAACGATTCTAAAGAAGTTTCACATGAAAAAAGAGCCCAAAAAGAAAAAAAAACTTCAGTATAGTATAGGGTTGGTTACCCTACATAAATGTATGGACATTCCAGAGGAGACGGAGGCTCACAACGGCGGCGAGGTGACGGAGGCGGCGGCGGCGGCGGCGGCGGAGGCGGCGGAGGCGGCCGAGGCGGGGTCGCTGCAGGCGCTGCTCAACAGCAAGGTGGTGCGCGACAAGCGCGCCGAGCTCGCGCGCAAGCTGGACGCGCTGCGCCGCAAGCACGCGCGCCGCCCGCGCCCGCCGCGCCCCGCCAACTTCTTCGTCAAGCGACTCTCCAACAGGAACATGTTAGTATATAATTACCCTGACGCTGACGAAAAAAAGCCTTTGAGCCCTCATTCAGACGCATCTTATAACATCCCAATCAACCACGTAGTCCCGAAATCCACGACACCAGTGCGATGGCGCAATTTCGCTGAAAATCAGGTCTGTACTGAAGCGACAAAAAAAAACATTTCCAATGTTAAAATACTTTACTATCTTCATTAATTACAACGTGATTCATATTTATATAAAACACTGGATAATATTTCTGCTGGGCGAACTATATAAGATTTATATCTTGCACACATTCGATAAATAATCTTACTAATGTTATAAATGCGCAAGTTTACTTTTATTTAAGCTTGGCCCATAGGAAACAGCTATAAAATAAACTATAAAGCTTATTATAACACTTACATTTTGTTTTATTACGCTAGCTTTGAAATTAACTAAGATATATCGCTTTGAAAAAAAGTCGCCCCCGGACACTTTTTTTCCAACTAGCTCCTTAAATAACAAAGATAGAGCTTTGAATAATGATTCCTTATATTTTTAATATGATTATATTTAATTTAGGTTTATTATTTTTTTTATGTTGTATTAGAATAGGAGTTTATACTTTATTAATTGCTGGATGATCTTCAAATAGAAATTATTCTTTATTAGGAGGTTTACGTGCAGTTGCTCAAACTATTTCATATGAAGTTAGTTTATCTTTAATTTTAATATCAAGAGTAAATTATAAATTTTAATTTTATAAAATTTAGAGAATATCAATTTTTAATTTGATTTATATTTTTAATACTACCTTTAAGATTATGTTTTTTTTCTTTCTTTATTAGCAGAAACTAATCGTACTCCTTTTGATTTTGCAGAGGGAGAAAGAGAATTAGTTTCTGGATTTAATATTGAATTACTGGATCAATTACTATTAGTGTCCTCTACAATATAACATCGGTTACGATATAGGTTCCTATCGGGGGCAGTTTCGCCATAAAAGTACGGGTAGTCCCTTTACGAAATTTTAAGTGTTTCCTTTTAACCATAATAACAAACTATTTGAAAACAATTTCATAGACTTCCATGTGCATTGTGCAGGAGCGAACCCACTACGACCGGCGAAGAATCATCAACCGCCATCACGCCCGGCTCGGAAGCGGCTGCTGCGGAACGAGAACTAAGACTAAGGTAAATATTTATGAAGCATCCGCGGATACCAATAAAAGCGATTATGACACACACACACATGAAAAAATTATGAGACTAAAATTTTTACGATGCTCGTGCACACCGACAGCCAAAAAGCAGCATGATGAAGTTAGCTGAAAGCGACATGATGATGTTAGCTGCATAAACAGAGAGTTGTGACATACGGGATAGATACGCCATAGAAGTATAACTTCTTACGTGCGTACACACACAGGTTATTTTTTTTTAATTTTAACTTACTTTTTTTAGATACCATCACGCAATATACGCAGCTCTAGAAAAGAATCTACGGAATGAACAACAACACCAGATGAAACTTTTAACAGTAAGTTCATAATTTTATATCCTAAATTTCTCTTAAATTAGTCTAGTAGTCTCATCCAATATCCCAGTTTTTGGTCCTACCAAATTCCATTCCATAATCCTATTGCTTTCCCATACAAAGTTTCATCCCCACTTTCGCCCCCTTTAGGTACGATTTCCGGAGTGAAAACTATCCTATGTCCTTCCCAGGGTCTCAAAATATCTTATTACCAAATTTCATCTAAATCGGTTCAGTAGTTTCGGAGCTTATACGGTACAAACAAACAACCAAAAAAATCTTTTCTCTTTATAATGTTAGTATAGATAAAGTAAAAAAATGAATTTTTAGAAAGATGGTAGGATTATATAACTATTGTCATATTTTGTTACGTCAAACAATGTCTGTATGTATTTAATATACGATCTCGAAATATTTTTTAAATTAAATTAAACATCACAGGATCTTCTAGAGAACGAGAAAAAGGAGATTTTGAACAAACTGGCGAATTCGCGGAAAGAAGACGTCAAAGCGTTAGCGAAGAAAACCAATAGAGATAAGGATGAAATATTGAGGATAAAACGAGAAATTCACTCGCAGGTTAGTAGTGGGTGTATATCAAACTTAACTGAAACCTTTTTTTTATATCATTTGTTGTATGCCCATTGCACGGTACGCCCACTGGTCACGGGCCTCCCATCGATACGAGGGGGATCACGCCATAGTCCACCACGCTGGCCAAGTGCGGGTTAGCGGACTTCACATGTCTTTTGAAAACTTGCTAGATTCTCTCAGACATGCAGATTTTCTCACGATGTTATCCTTCATCGTTAAAACAAGCGGTAATCATGTTGGAAATGATTCGCACATGAAAATATCAAAGGTTTAAGACCTTTGATGTGAACCCGCTTCACTCGGTTTTCCAAGCGAGCGTGCTGCCACTCGTCTACCACTGCCTGTTATATCATTTATAAAATATTATTTTCATTAAAACAATATTTGTACGTCATGGTACAACGGCTGAATGGATTTAGATGATATTTAGGTAGGTTATGTTTGAAATAATAGATGAATTACTATGAAATACTCAAGGAAGCCGTTAGTCTATCTAATACGTACATATGTATATACAAATAAATAAAATTGAATTGTCTGTAATGTCAAAATAACAGTTTTTTACTAAATGCATGTGGCAGGAGGAGGTTCTCAATTCATCGGAATCTTATGTAAATTCACCGATCACTCTAAGACGCCTGAACCTATTTGGATTGTTTTTTTTTGTTTTGAAGGGTATACTTCCCAGGTGGTCCAATTTATATTTTATCGAAATCGGTCGAGCGGTTTTTAAAAAAAATCAACAATAATGTTTTTTTTTTTTAAATAAATTGCTTACTCGAATATGTTATTAAAACGCTTTCGTCTTACAAATTACCTGCTTATGACGTTTTCACTGAAAATGGAAAAATAATAACTTAAAAAAAACGACTTCCAGTCATATGGAAAAAATAAGTAAACGGCGGTTTTAATTTAGAATAAAGAAGGTACCTGACCAGATAATTTCGAAGTCGGTGCCAGCCGACAATATTTTATGATATGAATATCTAATAGGTAAATATTATTAGGTATGAACTCAGTTAGTGAAAATATTATACATCAATTTGTAATGTATTTTACGTATCGAAATAATATATTAGATTTGCTTTGCGTCGGCTGGCACCGATTTCGAAAATCTTTGGTTAAGTATCTATTCTAAACGAAAATCCCCGTTTAGTTATTTTGTACTTTTTAGGGCCTGGAAGTCAGTTTCTATTTTATTTTTTAAAGATATTACCGCGGGAAAATATCCCATCTTCGAGCAAAACAATAAAATGTAACAAGGGACGAACCCGAGCGAAGCGAGGGTGAGTCGCTAGTATAATTATTATAATAAGTGAGTGTTAATGTGTATGTGTGCGTGTGCAGTCGGTGGAGCGCGGCGTGGCGGAGTGCTCGCGGCTGGAGCAGGCGCATGCGCGGCGCCGCGAGCAGCTGGCGCGCGCGCACGAGCGGGCGCGCGCCACGCTGCTGCTGCACCGCGACCAGGTACGAGACACGACATACGCATTCATCATGTACATTGTACACTCACAGACACACACTTATAATACCTTGGTGACACATACGTGTATACATATACACGCACACGGCACATGCTCATACATACCCGTACTTATACACGTGCGTGATTCATACACTCAAACAGATATGCACATCTACACGTGTGACCTGAGTCACACATATGCACATAAACACATTTATAACTTTTAGAACGTGATACGTACACGCACGTGTGTATATGTGTATAAAATCCAGTGACAAATAAATAACTGAAGCTCTCTGAGTCTTTTCCACTCGGCAGTACTGCTAAGATCATATTTAATTTACATAGAATTTTCCATTGCTTCTTAAAATCATTCGTAAATTTTTCTTGCCATATAAAATTATAAATGTTGAAAGACCGCTAGTTATATACAAGCAATAGTAACACAATAATTTTTAAGTTGTTTGTTGTGTTGGTAAGTATTTATTTTTTGTAAAATGTATCACTGGAAATATGGTTTTTTAATGATAGTTGTTGTTATATTTCGTTATTTAATTGGGTTCAATAAATGTACACGTACAAATTAATTAATTGCAGGTTTTTATTCCACTTGCCACAGATTATACCCTACTCTCTGACCTATCAAAACATAAACAATAAGTTCTTATGATTAACAAATTAAGATTACAACAGTAGTAAAATGTTTGCTAGGGATCTTCGGCCTTTTACATTTACCTCATTGATAGTTGAATCGGATATAAAATCATTATTGATATGATTCCACTTACTCGTTTTCTTGAAAACTGATAGTTTTTTTCTTGTAAAATTTATTTTTATTATTACATCCATACTAATATTATAAATGTGATAATGTGTTTGTTTGTGTCTTTGTTTGTCTTTCTTTCACGTCAAAACGGAGTGACGGATTGGCGTGATTTTTGGTATGAAGATAATTGGAGAGCTGGAAAATGACATAGGCTACTTTTTATCGCGGGAGATCATCTCATTCCCGCGGGAAAATACGTTATAATACAATCTAAAAATTTATTTCTGATCAGAATTACTTGAAACATAGTATTAATGCTCTTTAAAAAAAACATATTTTAGTATTTCTCGAAATTCACCCTTTAAGGGGGTAAAATAGTTGATGAAAGTTTATATGAAACCTAGGTACCTACCTTTTTAGAGATTTTTTGTAGTTTTAGCGTGAGCGAAGCCGCGGGTTCTGCTAGTATATTATAAAAATAAGTACTTTATTTCATACCAAACTTACTTATAATTTCGATGAACATCACTTGACTATAATAACTTGATATTTTAATGATTACAGGAACTCCTAGAACTAGAGCGACTGTGCGGCGGCGCGCCCGAAGGCTAAACCCGGGCCCTTCCCTTCTGAGCTCGCTATAACGTACAATATGTACGTACATAAGCGTCCCTTCGAATATCTAGAACTAAACTGTCCTCAAGCTCAAATATTTATTTAGCATTCTTTAAATAATACGTGCGTCTCTAGTTATTTACAAGGGATGTTTGTAATTAAATAATTTCCTTTAGGAATCTGTGATATTACCTCCTAAGGAGCGAAGCGGGAGTACTTCGTCACTCCGCAATCTCATAGTTTTAGTTCGTTCCCATAGTTTTAGTACCTCGATGCGTATTAGGATTTTTAGCAGGATTGCCAACTTAATAATATTTACATTTATTAGTTTGGCAAAAATCGTGACGTCACAAATTAGACTTTTTTTCATATTTTTAAAGTGGATGATTGTTTTGGTAAGTTGGCAACCCTGTCTTGTTTTTGTGTTTGAAATGCACTTCCCTTATAGATTAATATATAAATTTGTCGTGTAGTAGTGAATGGAACTAACTCGTGATTGCATTTAACTTGTAGTTAATAGCGGTATGTTACTAACGCTTTTGCATCGATATGCTAGTCATTGTAGGCGATATACTTGAGTATTAATGGCGGCCATGTTTTATTTATGTACTTTTAAGATATTTAGGTATTTGTTTCAACGTACAATTGAAGCAATAATTGCTTAAAATGTAACTTTATCGTATAATGCTATAAAGTATTTGAAATGGGATTGTTCTTTTTATTTTATCTAAATATTTTGGTTAGTCATACATTTATATCAAAACGCATTACTGTACATGCCGCCATTTTGAATTTTGGTCTTTATTATTGCCACAGATTATATAAAGTTAGATAAGACAAAACAAAGGGCATATTTATTAAAAATAAGTTTTGACTTTAATATTTATCCTTTCTAATAGGATTGAGGTTGGCTATACATATCTACCGCACAAACTGATTCTAGTATCAAATATATACGTAGAGTTTGTAGTTTAACATCCGTTTTTGCGATTATTCCAATATATCTGGTTAGTGAACTTTCGATCGTTTAATTACTTTGATAATATTGAAAATTCTTAATAAAATAAGGGCATATTAAATGTAAGCGTATACTTTAATAGATATCCGTGATATTAATATTTTATTATTTAATTTGTGTTCATATAATTGGTTGTCAGAGTAAAAGTAGCCTAACTCTTTCTTCTTTAAATTGTATGAAAAAGTATATAACTTCAATATAAGCATTACCTATAAATAATATTTTTTTTATATAGCTTTATATATTTAATATTTGCATTTCAATTTTTTTATCGATTTACGTTTAGTTAAAGTTTTAAGCTTAGGCTGCTTTTGCTCTGGCAACCTTGTATTATATATTATCTTTTATTATTTGTGTATTTTTTATAACCTGTAGGTTGTAGTGAACATTCCAATGCCTGATTCATTTGCGCACAAATCGATATCTAGTCGAAAATATGATCTGATGGGAATATTAATTTTTGTTAAATTTAAATAAATCTAAATTAAAAAAATTAATATAGTATATCTTTTCCAATTAATATAAATTTACTGCATTTTTTCTCTCAATTATATTTGTTTGAACTAATAACATGCAGTCTTGAATGCATTGATCAAAAAAGTACTAGGTACACAATCAGCGACAAAAATTGTCCTCACCGAATGAACGTTCATTTGAACATTCGTGCGCGCTTTTAATTTTTTTTTCTGAAAACATTTAATTTAAGGTTCAATTTACATTGTTGTATATTTATTTCGATTGCAATAATTACCTAAACACAATTGGTGACAGTTTTAAGAGAACTTTTGAATGGTATTGTATATCTAGTACTTTTTTTATCGATGCTTGGATGTTATAAAGGCGTTTAAAAGACATGATATTGTGACATATATCTAAAATTTAGCTCTCTATTAAACTGCACAAATTTAAACTCTACGCACAAATACGCAACACTGTAGAATAATGTCGTGGTATCAAAGGAATAGTTTGAACGATAATTATTTAATAATTGATATTAAGAAAATGGCTGTTTGCCCAATTTTCGTTGTATTTTTCTCAAAAAGGCTTAGCTGAAAAATTTCTAAAGTTACACAGTATATAAAGTTATACGTGTAAGAGTGTATTTTATAGAAGTGTTAAATATCATGTTCGGTAAAGATTTAAAAAAAACTTTTGATCTTAGCCTTAGTCGAGTTATAGGCCCTTTTTGTGAACGAAGCGTTTTGTTTTGAATTTTTTTCAACCGTCTGGGAATTCCTTTTGAAACCCACTCTAAATTTTTTTTGCTGGAAATTACATTTGCATTTGGGGAAAAAAAAGATGGGTGAATATTTGAAACGGCGCTTAAAAAAAAAAAAAAAACTATTCTATTGTCTTAATGGTATCGTAATTCTTAAGAAGTGCCATTGGATTGTATTTCCAAGAATTTTCGTCCACTTTCTCGTTTTTTGGGTCAATAAAATATTTAACCTATGATTATAACGGCGGCGAAATGTTTTATATATAACTCAAATAATCCAAAGTTTATACAAAAATCCTATAATGGAAGCACGTTTGGTTTTCCATATTTTCCCAATTTTCCGGGAAGCTATTGCTATTTTATATATAGACGTACGAATTTTTATGGAATATTTCAGACCCATAAATTAAATAATAATCCAAAAAAAAAATATTCAAGGGTGAATAGAAATTCATCGTCTATAGAACATACTAAACATAATATAAAAAAACCCTATACAATAGAAAGTTAAAACTCGTATTCTGTTAAAGAAATTACTTTTAATTCAATTTGAACGTTAATAATAAACGCAGAGACATCCATGTCAAATTACTGTAAAATATTATGATTGATTTGCTCAATTCGTTTAAAAGTCATTTGAAATATTATGTAAACTTTTTTTTTATTATTAAGAACTTTATGGCAACCTATTTCGTAATTATAACATGTTTTGCTTTAATGTTAATGGGATTAAAAAGAATTTACTTCAAAAAAAAAACAAAGTGTCGCACGTTATTCTCGATATTTGTCGAATGACAGCTTGACGGAAAAAAGTGTAATATGTCGACCGTCACAACACTTTTTCATTTACTAAGAGTACCTTGTGTGACGTCATCAGAAGTAACAGGTGAGCATAGGGAGTGTATGTAGTAAGTTTGTGTGCACTCTTATGACGGGGCGTCACCAATAATTTCTTACTTTTGAAAGTTGTTGAGTTGAATGATACATGTTCCGAACTAATATAATATAAACATCGCGTATAAAAAACAAAATAATAAAAAAACCCGTGTGTATAATATCTCGATAACGTTGAAAAGTTCTTAATTTACCTTTAAAAATTAGCAATAAAAATAACAAAATTTTGTCCGTCTGTGTTCAATATCGCAATAACGTGTCTTCATTTAAAAACTACAAGTTAGTTTAATAAAGTTAAGGATTTATATAATTTTGTTTAAAAATATAAAATAAAAACATTGGGTAATTTTTTTCCATTTATTTTTTTCTTATAATTTCATTTAACATCGAGACCTTTAAAATTATAGAATGCAATAACATCTCCGTCTCGATTGTAGAAATAAGACATGATATAAATTAGAAAGTTTTGTATTGAAATAACTGCAGTGTTGCTATAAAGTTATTAAATTATAACATTTTTAAGGTTGCCATATAATAGTAGGGAATCGATAAATTCTTAAATTGCTTAACAGACTATTATAACAATTTTGGTAATTAATACGTCTACCTTAGTGTTTATGCGAATATCATGCTGTCGTATTGTAATTTGTAATGCGATGAAAATTTAATGTATTTTGCGCTTAACATATATACATATATTTAGTCTAATAGTAAATTATATATAAATATGTATCGTAAAGATTTTTAAATGTCATAATTTGAATTGAAATTAATGTTTTTTTAATAACTTTCATATATAATTAATCGATACCACGAATTTAAACAGGGAATCTCTAACTATCGCCTATTCTGATCTACTTTTAACTATTATAACAAGTAAGTACGTACGTAGTTATATATGAGTAATGACTTAATGAGAGTGTTGATGTGTAGGTAATGATTATTCGAATAAAGCCTTCTCGCGATTAAAATGAAAAATCGATTAAATGTATTCATTTGTAAATGCCTTTAAAATTGGCTGCCTGTATATCTAATTCATTATACGCTTTATATGTATGTATGTATATTTGAATAGAGTTTATTTTTTCTTTTATCGTCATAAGCACAGTATATGTGTTTATTTATTTTACAGTACAGTAACAAATACCTCTAATGCCAAATCAAAATGAGCCATTATTTATAACCTTTTAAAAGGCAGCCATTTTGTTTTAGAGTAATACATGTAGCCTTTTGGGAGAGTCACAAATAACTTGTAGGTCTTCTAACATAATTATCTTCTGCTTTAATATATTACTTGCATTAATGTAGAATGTTTTGAAACAGGTATGATATATAAAGTAGGCAAGAGTGATGAAAAATCAATTGCAAAGTATTATTTTCAATTATGTAGAGCATTGATCAAAAAAGTACACACTCAGTGACAATATATGTTCTCACCGAATGAGCGCTCATTTATACATTTGGGCGCGCTTTTCATTTTAAACACAATTGGTGATAGTTTTAAGAGAACTTTTGCATGGGATTGTGTATCTAGTACTTTTTTGACCTATAATGTAGATCAAAAAATTCATATATCTTATATACCTATGTACTGTATTATATCTGTTTTAAACAATGTTACGTAGTACGAGTGTACGCGACACAAGTTGTTCTTGCCTTGATATATTAATACTTGTTACGTAAGTAGGTATGGTGTGTGGTGTTTTCTACTTGAAGTAAAATTACTAAATTACTCCTCTAATGTGTTTTTCCCTTATTTAAAGAAAAATTCCCTTATTAAAAGATTTTAATGGCCTAAGTCTATTTTCTTCATCGCGCCTTCATCGTTTGAAATTTAGAAAAAAAATGAATTTTAATAGCAAA